ATGCGTGTGTGTGTGTAGTAGAGTGCTGTATGAATGCGTGTGTGTGTAGTAGAGTGCTGTATGAATGTGTGTGTGGCGGTATATGAGAACACAGATTGTGTTGTAAAGAGCTTTGAGTATCTGGATTAGATAGAAAGGAGCTGCATAGTCCATTCACCATTTTGTCCCTGAGTTCCATGAAAGGTGCCTCCAAATAAAATGTATTAAATCCCGGTCCAGGAGCCATTCTGGGTGGAGTTTGCATGTTCTCTCTGTGCTGCGTGGGTTTTCTCCAGGTGCTCCAGTTTCCTCCCACATACCAAAAGCATGCATGTTAGGTGTGTGAGAGAGAATGGTTTGCTCGTCTCGTTTATGTGTCCCTGTGATGGACTGGGTGTCCAGGGTGTCTCCTGCCTCTCACACAGTGGACTGCTGGAGACGGCACCAGTGACCCCCAAGACCCAAAAAGGAGAAGCAGATAAAGATAATGGAGGCATCATCATCATCATCATCAATTATTAATATGAATCACAGAATTTATAATAATAATAACAATAACAATACTAATACTAATACTAATACTAATACTAATACTAATACTACTAATAATAATAATAATATCATCATTATGAAACAGGTTTTGTTCGGTCAGGTTGGGGGATCTGGTGGAAGCTCGCCTCCTGATGATTCGGACCAATCAGCTGTCTGGTTAATCATCACGGCCGCAGCCTACAGAGGAGCACGCGCCGCGCCGCGCGCAGGGTTTGCGCACAGAGGACGTGCATCGAGGGCCCATCATCGGGCAGGAAGGATGCAGTGAGATCGTGCTGTCCAGCCGAGCTCTTCTGTCCGACATGAGCGTGCTCCAGGCCGGGCTCGAAGGCAGGGTGGGCGGCGGCTCCCCCAGGCTGCAGCAGCGCGCGCAGCCTCCCAACAGCAGCAGCCGCTCCAAGGATCCCAGGCATCAGCAGCAGAGGCATCATGGAAGCTCGATGCTGAAGCAGCCAGCCCAGAACGAGCCGGCGGACGCAGTGAGGCGCGCGCTGGACTTCAAGAGCCAGGGCACCCAGTGCTACAAGGACAAGAAGTACCGAGAGGCCATAGGAAAATACCACCGCGCACTGCTGGAGATCAAGGGGCTGTGCAGGCTGCTGGGGGAGCCAGAGTCCCCGGCCCCCCTCCTGCCCCCCATCAGCAGGTCCAGCACGCTGACAGATGAGCAGAAAGGAGCCATGGAGAATGCAGAGCTGGAGTGTTACAACAGTTTGGCCGGTAAGAGTCGAGCTTCCTCCACACGCTGCAGGTTTTACCTCCACCATGACTCCACCATGAGTCAAAATCAACAGCAGACCGCTACATTCACCCATTCACTTCCACCCTCAGGCTCACATCCGGCTTAACAATTCACCCATTCCAACAAAGTCCATGCTCAATAATCCAGGTATACAAGCCAACAATTTTTCAGTCAGTGTAATAGTCATGGATCACCCTTTTTTGGATTAATTTTTGGACCCTGACTCCAGCAACCAGCAGCAAAAATAAATAAACTGTTCTTGTTTTTGCACTCGTGTCTGGCATATTAAGAATCCAAAAACCCGTTTGCGACAGTCGGGTCATCTGGACAGTTTATTTTTTTGCTGAAACATTTCATCTTCCATCCAGAAGGTTTCATCAGTCAAGGAAACACACAACCAAAAACTGATTCTTCCCCCTAACAGCTTACCCCAAAAGTGGAACAAACCAGTTATGTTGGTGCTAAGATGGTCTCTATGGCACGCCCCCTCCTCCGGTGCCAGCCCTCTTACTTGACAGTCGTGTCAAACTGGTTCAAAACTGATGAAGCCTTCTGGATGGAAGGTGAAACGTTTCAGCACAAAAAAAGAAATTATCCAGATGACCGAGTGAAAATTGTTGGATTGTTTAATGGTCTTGCCCCATTCTACCTCTGAGCTGCTTCACCCTACTCTCCTGCTCGGTGCCTCAGATCAGCTGATCAGCTGCTCCTGGAGGTGCCGAGGTCCAAACGGAGGCTCAGAGGGGACAGAGCTTTTTCTGTTGCTGCTCCAAGACTGTGGAACGATCTCCCTCTTCCCATCAGACGAGCCCCTTCACTGTCCAGTTTTAAAACTCTTAAACACATTTTTACTCCCTGGCTTTTAGCACAGACTGAATTTTGCTCTGCACCGATTATTTTTTTAATTGATCTTAGTGTTTTAACAACTGTTGTGTTTAAATGTTCTTGATTTTATATGTACAGCACTTTGTGGCAGCTGTGGTGGTTTTAAAAAGGGCTTTATAAATAAAGTATCATCATCATCATCCCTGGATTATTGAGCATGGACTTTGTTGGTTTTGAACCATGTTTGACACTACCGTCAACAAGGAAGAGGGCCGGCAATGGAGGAGGGGGCGTGCCAAAGACACCATCTTAACACCAACATAACTGGTTTGTTCCACTTTGGAGTAAGCTGTTGGGGGAAGAATCAGTTTTGGGTTGCGATTTTCCTTGACTGATGAAGCCTTCTGGATGGAAGGTGAAACATTTCAGAAAAAAAGAAACTATCCATATGACCAGACTGAAAAATGTTGGATTCACCCATTCACTTCCACCACCAGGTTCACATCATGCTGGTATACCTGCTCCAACTGTTTTACTCCACATCACACAAAAAATAGTCAAACTCCATTCTCTCCTGCTTCTACTTCTGTTCCAGCGTGTCTTCTGCAAATGGAGTTGGTGAACTACGAGCGAGTGAAGGAGTACTGCCTGAAAGTCCTTCACAAAGAAGGAAAGAACTTCAAAGCTCTTTACAGGTCTGGAGTGGCCTACTACCACCTTGGAGACTTCCAGAAGGCCCTGGACTACCTGAAGGAGTCACACAAACAGGAGCCGTCAGGTCAGGAGTACCAGCATGTACACTAGTACTACATGTCAAAGGTCAGGAGTACCAGCATGTACACTAGTACTACATGTCA